CCCCCCCCCCCCGAGGGCTCCCCAGGACTCGGCCCTGGAGAAAGCCAGGCGGCCTGGGGGATAGCTGCTAAGGGTGTGACCACTCGGGGTGCAGGAACCCTCGCAGAAGCACGGGTGCTTGGTCCCGGCCCCCATCATGTCCCAGGTAGCCCTGTGATTGTCTCGACACATCTGTGCTCGCCCTGCTCGGGACAGCTGGGTGGGGGCCCCTTGAGGACCGACCCCCCGTCTAACCACCTGTGCCCCAAACTCCAGGCTGCTGCTCAGGTTTTGTCCAGTAACCATTTACGGACTGGCTGAAGGACCGATTATAGACAGATGACCGGGAACCTGAAGAAGGGCACCCGGCCCTTCCAGAAAGGTGCACGACTCACAGTCCTTATAAAGTACTTACATCTGCTTTCAGATGCTCACCTGGAGTGAGTGACAGCAAAGTGGTCCCACACCCCTCCGGCTCTGGGAGGCATCGAATCCAGGCCGCACACACACAGACACACAAATGCACACACACACGTGCATACCCATAGTGCAGGCACACGCACGTGCACACCCACGGTGCACACACACCCACGTGCACACACACAGTGCACACCCACGGTGCAGGCACACGCATGTGCACACACACGGTGCACACACGCACGTGCACACACACGGTGTAGGCACACGCATGTGCACACCCATGGTGCACGCATGCACACGTGCACACCCATGGTGCACACACATGTGCACACCCACAGTGCACACGTGTGCACGCACGCACACGGGTCTGCACGGGAGCCCGGCAGCCCTCTGAAGGCGGAATCCAGAGCCGGTGCAGTGCCCACCACGCTCCCCCCTCCCCACGCCAGCCTGCCTGCCACTTGCCTAGAAAGCGCCGTCTGAAAGGGCCGCCGGGGAGCCCACCCGTTTCCTCCTGTCCCCTGCCCAATGGGCGTTTTCCACACAAAACATTGGTGGCTGTGTCTGGGGGGACAAACTATTTTCTCAACCCTGTCCCACCACCTGGGAGGCCAGGGGTCCACCTCCCCCCCCCCAGTCTGTGCTCGCCGGGGGGCGGACAGGAAAGAGAGTTTGCCTCTGAAGTTGGGAAAGTTCCTATCGAGCAGCGATGTTATTCCTGAAATCGGGCCTCGTGGAGGGTCTCGGGGATGCACTAAATAACTCGGCGGATAAAAGATCAGGTGAAACAGCATTCGCTGAGCACCCCGCCTGCCCACGGCCCCGGGAGAGCACCTGCCCTCCGGGGCCCATCGACAGCAGGCCGCTCCGCTCGGGGAGGGTGGGCTGCCACAGGAGCCTTCACTCCCCTCACGACCCAGAGGGCCACTGACTCAGCATTTTCTTTCCATAGCAACAAATTTCTAAACGTCCGGCCGAAGTAACGTCACGGCATTATTCACATTCAACCAACATCCAACAAAGCTTCCGGGGGGGCAGCGGTGGGTAACCTGGGCTCCTTGTGTTCCTTTCTCGACATCAGATGGGTTTGAAAAGTGAAATAATAACATGTGAAAAGGAGGGAGGGGCAGAGAGGGAGCCCAGGCCAGGCGCTCGGCCCACGGGGCGGGATCCCGCCCGCCCCCAGCGGGCAGCCTGGCCCAGCCTCTGCCCACCTGCGATAGGGAGGCAGTGATACCACAGGCGCTGAGGGCACAGGGAGGGCTAAAACTGTAACTTAAAGTTGGCATAGTGCCCGCACACAGTAAGTGCTCAATAAACGTGACCCGTGAGGAGCCAGGCAGGGCGCTGGGTGCTTCCGGGGCTGCTGCTTCGTTCACGGGGAGGAAACTGAGGCCCAGGGAGGCAGAGCTGGGCTCACGCTCCCAGCTGGCCGACTCCGAGGGCGCAGCCCAGCCCAGCCCCCCCTTCCTCTGCCCCTGGGAACCCTGCGATCCCAGTGGGGAGGCCCCCCGCACTCCCCAGCTGCGGGGACCCCGGGACATCCAGCCCCTACACTGTATTAAGCAGTCGCCACAGCGACCGTGTCAACATCAGTCACGATGAGTGAACACCCTTCACTGTCACCCACTAACAGGCCAGGGCCGCAAAGGCGGGCTTCAGAATGATGTACCACGGAAGGAAATGAAACCCATCGATAACAGGCAGGTTCCTCGAGGCGCTGGTTTAATTCATGGCCCTGTTTCTCCCCCGTGTTTACAACAAGCATCGTTCACGGTCTGGAGGCGGGAGAAGCCCCGTTTGTGATGGAGAAACGGTTCCCGGCACCGCGCCTCTCGCCTGCTCCAGGGGATCCATCACGCTGAGGGAGGGCGATTAAGTGCAGAGCCCGGCAGCGGGGGCCCCAGGGAGGCAGCGGGGACCCCAGGGAGGCAGCGGGGACCCCAGGGAGGCAGCGGTGACCCCAGGGAGACAGCGGGGACCCCAGGGAGGCAGCGGGGACCCCAGGGAGGCAGCGGGGGCCCCAGGGAGGCAGCGGGGACCCCAGGGAGACAGCGGGGGCCCCAGGGAGGCAGCGGGGACCCCAGGGAGGCAGCGGGGACCCCAGCCAGGCAGCGGTGACTCCACTGGGCGTGACTGGGGTGTGTTTGGGGTGTTGTTCTAAGCCTGCTAACGTTTCTGCAGAAGTAAAAGGAAATCTGAAGACTGGTTTAGCCTGCGACCTGCAGGGAAGCCCCGCTGGGTCCAAACAGGTTGAAAGGGAAGATCTGGGCGTGGGGGGGTGACCGGTCATCCCGCAGGACCACATCCCGGGTGTCCCTCTCATCTCTCCTCTGTCACTCGCTCCTTCGGCATCCCTGAGATGACACCTCCCACCGCCTCTGACCCTGGGGTCCAGAACCTTCCCTCCGCTCACACCGCTTCCCGCCATCGAATCTCCCGCTGAGCTTGCAGCCCCGGCCCCGGAGGGTGACCACTTCTGGAAATACTTAAACCAACTTTATTCACAAAACACTATCTGAAGCCCTGGCCGGGTAGCTCCGTTGGTTAGAGTGTCGTCCCGATACTCCGAGGTTGCGGGTTTGATCCCCAGTCAGGGCACACACAAGAATCAATCAGGGCCGCATAAGTGGAGCAGCAAACCAGCGTCTCTCTCCCTCTCTCCCTCTCTCTCTCTCTCTCTCTCTCTCTCTCTCTCTTCTTCTCTCTCTTTCTCTGAAACCAATAAATAAAATTTCAAAAAACAGAAACAAAACACTATCTTGAGAGTGAAAATGCTACAAAGCTTCCATTTGGCCCACTGTGGAATCCCGTAAGTAACGACAGGTGGTTTCAATGTTGCTGTGACAAGTCTTTGGTTCCCGGGTGTGGTTTCGATGCTCAGTACGGGGCAAGTGGCACCTGGGGGAGGAAACCCTGGGGACCCCCTTGGTGGGAGTGACATGCGGTTACACCTGGAGTAGAGCCCTTGCTGGGGTCCTGGAGTGGCACGTGCCACTCCCAAAGGAACAGGAGGCAACAGTTCCAGGTCCTCACTGTCCCCGGAGGCCGACAGGTATGTCATTTGCTTTTTTCAAAACACTGGCAGGCACGTGAGTTCCTGGGGTGGCTCTCGCTCCGCGGGTACAGCCCGGCTGGCGCGGGGCACGGGGGGGAGGGAGGCTGCGCTGTGGGTGCTCAGGGGACCACCCAGCTGGGACTCACCTCCCACCTGCAGGATGCCGTGTCTGGCCACATCGTAGAAGGGGTGGCTCACGCTCAGTGCAGGGTCCTGGCTGGCTGTGGGCACCACCGAGGGTCTCCTCACGGCGCCCGGGACGGCTGCCGCCTCCTCCTCATCTCTCTGCAGCTCTACGGAGACAACGAGGGTGAGAGGAAGTCAGCTGTGCTCTCCAGGAAGGAGGGGGGCCTCCTGATGGCTTTCTATAGGAGGTCACCATGCCGCAGCTGTGCACCCACTATGCGCCCACCTCTCCTGTGCACCCACTATGCACCCACCTTTACTGTGCACCCACTATGCACCCATCTCTCCTGTGCACCCACTATGCACCCACTTTTACTGTATACCCACTATGCACCCGTCTCTCCTGTGCACCCACTATGCACCCACCTTTACTGTGCACCCACTATGCACCCGTCTCTCCTGTGCACCCATGGGCCCACCTCTGCTGTGCACCCACTATGTGCCGCTCAGTGTGCAGCACCATGGAAGAAGAAAAGATGAGACCTGAGGGCTGGCTACTGGCCTCCACACCGACGGGAGTGGAGACTGAGGCTCAGAGAAGGGGAATGACTCCCCCAAGGTCACCCTGCTGACTGGCACCAGGTGTGGACTTGAACTCGGTTTCCCAGCTCCAAATTCTGACTCGGGCCCTTGCTGAGAGATGCCGGCCCCGGCGGCGGGCGCACAGCCGGGGCGGGCGTTGCAGGCGGACCCCGGGTCGCTGCGCTACGAGGCAGAAAGAATGTGCAGTCTTCCGACGGTGAGTTTTGGAAGGGGCGGCTCCTTCTCCCAAAACACGCCGAGGGTCTTTCGGAAATGTTTTCTGCTGGTAAAGGGCGGGGATTTCAAGTCCCAGGTCAGGTGGACTGCGGTCCCGGGTGCACGGGCTCAATAGGGTCCCTCTAACACTCTCGTCTGCCTGGAACCTCGGGACGTGACCTTATTTGGAAACAGTGACCTTAGGGATGAAATGAGTCAGATGAGGTCACGATGAACCCGATGACGCTGTCGGTGAGAAGAGGGGGCCCGGCCGGCATCCGCCTAGGAACCANGCGCTGAACCCGATGACACTGTCTCTGTGAGAAGAGGGGGCCCCGGGCGGCCTGGCTCAGGGGTCAAGCATCCGCCTAGGAACCAGGAGGCCGCTGGCTCGATTCCCGCAAGGCCACAGGCGGGGCTNACGATGAACCCGATGACGCTGTCGGTGAGAAGAGGGGGCCCGGCCGGCATCCGCCTAGGAACCAGGAGGCCGCTGGCTCGATTCCCGCAAGGCCACAGGCGGGGCTGCGGGCTGGATCCCCAGCAGGGGGCGCAGGAGGCAGCCAATCGGTGATGTTTCTCTCTCACTGATGCTTCTGTCTCTCTCCCCCCCTTCCTCTCTCTCTAAAATCAAAAAAGAGGTATTTTTTTTTTTAAAGAGAGGACACAGAGACACCAGGGGCGAACACACTTATACCTATTTCCGCCAGCTCCTCCAGCTCCGGCAGGGACATGCTCTGCTGGTGGGCGGAGTGGCCCAGGTTCACTGTCACGATGCCACNGGTTTTTGTTTTTTTAAAGAGAGGACACAGAGACACCAGGGGCGAACACACTTATACCTATTTCCGCCAGCTCCTCCAGCTCCGGCAGGGACATGCTCTGCTGGTGGGCGGAGTGGCCCAGGTTCACTGTCACGATGCCACCTCTTGGGGATCCGGGCATGGGGTCCTTCTGACGCCCTGAGGGAGAAGCACACGGAACCCGGCGGGGGGGGGATTTCACACGCGTCCCTGGACGGGGCTCCCTCTCACCAGCCAGCCCCGTGTCCCCGGGAGAGCAGGGCGGAGGGCAGTGGGGGTGGGAACAGCACCCGCAGGGCCCACGAGTGTCCAGGACACCATCGCGCCTGCCTCGCCACCTCCCTCGGAGATACGCACACTCATTCCTGTACCCATTGTATAGAGCGGGTAACTGAGGCCGGCCAAGGCCATTCAGAACTGCTCATGGCTGCACAGCTAGTAACCAGAACTAAAGCCGGGGGTTACCCTGTGCCCGGGACACTACTTCAACTGACCTGCGTAAATCTAAAAAAATCCATTTGCATCCAAACAACAGAATATTATATGTCCATAAAAGGAATGAAGTACTGACACACACCAGGATGCGGATGACCCTTGAAAACATTACGGTGCGTGGAAGCAGCCAGACACAAAAGGCCACATGCTGTCCGATCCCGCTGATAGGGACAGGAAGTCGACGAGCGGCTGCCAGGGGCTGGGGGAGGCGCGATTAGAGAGGTGACAGCTAGATAGCAAGGGTCCTTTTGAAAGCGGTGACAATGCACACACAGGCACACAGGCACACACAGACACGCACGTGTACACACGTGTCCTGGCTCCTCTCTGCTGGCAGCCCTGAGCCGTCACCCCCAGCAAGCCCCTCACTGTGACACTCCACCCCGCTCCTGCGCATACAGTTCTACATCACAACGACCCACATTTCATACCAACCTTGGGCCTGCCACCACCTCCTGCCCCCAGCACCCCCAGGCCTGCATCCCCGGTTCTTCCGAGGTCACCTGACCCTGGAGGGCAGGGAGGCAGATGGGAGCGGACAGCCAGCTGGCCGGGGCCCGGTGCACACACAGGATCGGGTTTGTTCCCTGGCAGGATGCGGGCACAGAGCGCCAGGCAGTGGAGCCCAGCAATGCCCCACCTGGGCCCCCCCAGGCCCCGCTGCCCACCTTCTCCTCACAAGGAACCCACAACCACCCTCCAAGTCCAGCCTTCTCCAAGCTGGAGCAGATCGCTGGGGAGCCGGGAGGGTGCAGGGGAGACACCCAGGCCTGGGACCCTGTGCCCACACCTGGCCAGGAGCCAGTCCCTACCTGCAGTGAAAGTGAGAAAAGAAACTCAATCGCCTCCACCCACAGCTCTGGCGGCAGCCAAGACAGCGCTGCAGGGAGCTGGGGGGGG